TAGTGAGGACTGCAACGATGAGATGGAAGTTACGGTAAAGTGACAAAGACAGAAATATCGTTGCGTACAGCGTTGCCACTAGTTGTAATAAATATCTAACACTATACAGAAAATAATGAATTTTAACTGATCAGTAATCAGGAAATGTATAAGTATTACTCATTACAAGCTCATTACTGATTTTTGTCATAAATAATACCTTTTAATCGTACTAGTATTGTGTATTATCTATAATTTGCCACAACCTACAACTCTACTGCTTACTATATTTTGATTCTGCTATAAACTGGTAACGTAAAATTTAGATATGACAACGCGCTTTACTCTCAACCATTATAGGTTTTACTATAGGTATGGTTATTTGTCATCTGTCACCTATCATTTTTCAGTTATGTTTATTGGTGACTCTTTGCAATTGGTCACTCACCTCATTTCAAATTTGCCGTTGACCTTTTATCTGCTAGAGAGCAGTTTGACTAACCCATATTCTTCAAGTATACGGAAAACACTGTAGCCTCATGAGTTTAGTATATTTTCATCTATTCATGATCTAATTCACACTTTTTTTGTCACTTTTGAAAGGTTCGAAGAAATTTTATTCATTTTAAAGTCCACGTTTTAACCACAAGATTCTTTTAGACGGCTACCAATTCTTTTCCTTAAAAAAAAAGATGTGCTTCACTTATTTTTTGTACGAACTGGTACACAACCAAGTAGACTGCAGTATGCTTCACAGCAGTATGCTTCACCTTATCACAGATTTCGATAGCCCTATATCTGATAATCCGTGTCTAGCACAGTCATCTAGTTTTTTTTCGTTAAATCCACTTATGATTTCTCAGTGTTTAGGCACTCAATATGAATGAAGTCTCTTTATGTACTCTTTACATTTCTTATCAATCCATTTACTGCTCTTGTCTTATACCATAGATTTTGATACCTCCACAGCTGGTTCAGGTTGTACAGAGCACAATCATCATCAGCTTCTTCATTTTCTGTGGTTCTCAAGATTTCGTTCATTCTTAACGAACGAAATCTCGACTTTTAGAAACGACGAAAACCAAGATAGGTAAATAAATCTGTTCCACACCACTAATGCACAAAGAACTTTGGAAAGATTTTCAAAGAACTAGGTATGATGGTGGCATTTGAAACAAATCATACAAATCATACACAAATCATACACATAGAAAATCCAAAAGGACAAAGTCGAGAATTTAGAAAAGTCTGGAATTTACGAAATTAAATGTGAGGACTGCGATGCAAAATATTATGGACAAACTGAAAGATCTACTGAAATAAGATATAAGGAGCACTTAGCGCAGCTAAAATATGGATGACCAGAAAAATCAGCAGTCGCCCATCATGTTTTGCAACAAAACCAGTCCATAGACTTCACTTCATCAAGATTAGTTAGACAAGTTAACAATAACAGACATCTAGACGCCTATGAGAGCTTAGAAATAAGTCAACATAATGACATTATGAATAGCAATTGTGGGGAATGGCCAGGGAAATGGGAGCCTATCCGAGAAGCCAATGTGGCCTTACGGACGGGGTCGCCGGACTCCTGGTCAGTGGCATAAATAAGTAGGGTGAGGGAAACTAAAACTCCCCAAAAGCCTTTGCGAAACATGCCACCGTGGACCGGCCTTCCCAACCTAAGGTGTAAGGAATCGTGCCAACAGCTGAATAGCCGCAGGGTGATATGAGGTTACGAACGATCCTCTTGGGGAACCGGGCGAAACCTCATTGTAATCAGCCTTCCTCTGGTAATGCAGGGCTCTGCCAGAGTGACCAACTCTTCCCCAGCTACTCGTGGGAACACACATGAATGAAACAAACACAAAAACAGACACAGAAAAAACAAAAACCAATCCCGACGCTGGACAGAAATGCTAAGCTGAGGTGGCTGGGGATGAACAGAAATATCCACCCCAATCTACCGCTCGGAATGAGGCTGGACATGGCAGCTCACTTTGTGATGCAATACAAAGGCCAAGGTGTAAGCTCATTTGTGGCGCCGAGGCCAAAAGGAGACAACAACGATAGAGGCAGGAGTGGCACCTCCAACAGCAAGGGCACTTCCTGCGGCGGGCGCCAAGAGCTCCGCTTCGAATAAATGCAAGGAACCCGCTGCCCCTTTAGGAAAGCGCCCTTACTTGAGCACCTGCACGGAGGGAACCCCAAGAAGGTTGAAGAAGCCGCGCAACGACAGTAATGTCGCTGCACCTTCCAGAACCTTCACGAAGGCCGCCGTGAGACACCTCAAGGTGTCAACATTGTGAAATTAATTTTAAGACAATTAAGACGCAAGTACCTAGCAGGTATGATAAGGCAGATATAAATAAGGACAACATTGTATGTAGATTTAATTTAATCTTTCTCTTGAAGATGATAACTTGGTGATTGGAACACCTGTTTAGAATAATTTCCGTAAGATACTGCAAGGGACAGATTGAGGCAAAAACGTCAGTCGTTTCTGAGAATTTAGTGGCTACTATTTTGGAATTATAGTATAATCCCTGTACCGAATTACATGATGGCCATACCTAACGTAGCTCTGTGGAATTTTGAATTGAAATTTGCCTAGGTTTTGATAGCCTAGTTCATCTCAAATTTGGTTGGTTACAACTCGTTCAAGACAAAAGATGTATACTTACGACATTTGACTTTGATTATTGCATAAAATTGATGTTGGGGATGAATTGAATTCGACTGTGATAACATTTGTTAATTGAGCTACAATACAATTAGTTACAAAGTTCATGCTGTTTCTCGAATAACCGAAACAAAATTAATCTACCTTCATGCAGTACAAAAAGAAAAAAATTAAAATTCTGTACCCAAGTACCTTATGAAACCCCATATGGAATAGTGGGAAAAATACCAAACATACTCGTAAAAAGGCTATCAGTCAAAGGTGAAAATTGTGCAGAATATAACAAGCCCCAAATCAGTAGGGCTTTTATTGAGGCTCAATAAATACTAAAAAAAATCAGTACCCGATTCCACCTAATCTAATAGTATTTTTCTAAGGTTTTTTCAAAGAAAGTCAGTCGGGGAAATAGTTAATATGACCATTAGGTAAGAATGTGATGAGTAGTGACGTAATTATATCGACGGAAATTGCGTATGTAGGTGACGTTAGTCCCATAAAATGAATGAACATGTACCTTCCAGCAGGTGGGAACCTTGGACCAATGTGGGGTAATTGTGGGTCCGGACTGAGGTCTCGTCCTGCTCCTGGACGGCTGTCGAAAAAAAAGCAACATGCAACACTCAACATTTTCTACAAACTAAAACAATTTGAAAAATTCGATCGATAATTAAAAACAAAATGGTAATATTACTATCGGTCTGGGCAATACACCAACCGCATGGCAGAGATGATGCAGGTAAAAATCTTCAATATCTTTTCATCTTAACTGACAGTCGCGTCTGAGTTAAAATTTGAAAAACAAATAGTACTTCGAACGAAAGCTTGAATTGTAAAGAAAATAATGATATTTTTTCATTTCTTTCGGTTACACTAAGATTTAGCAAATTCTTTATTTCAAATCAGATACTCCATTTATTTTTATGATTGTGTGAAATATCCAATAGCTAAGATTGATCAAACGAAAAATGAAAAAGTACTGTTTTGTTAATAAACCTTACTGAAATTTCATTGTGTGAGCTTGAAAGTATATTATTATGCAAAGTATTCATTGAACTCAAATACACACATCGGAAAAGTCTAGGGATATTTTTAAAAATGTCAGTAATTTTTTTTTAGATCGCTTTAGGGAAAAAAAAGTTGACGGGTGATTATTAAACGAATGTAACTTNAAATGTTCTATATATGTATATATATTCAAAGTCTTGAATCAACATTGTTTTTAATGATCGATGGTAGATATTATGAAAAACTAAAAAAAAAAAACTGATGAAAATTATCAATATTATAGCTAAATCGATGAATATCATGCATTAAGAAAATACTAGTACTGACTATTTTTTCTATTTTTGAAGATACGAACTTTGGCAAAGTAATATTTTTAAAAAATTAAACTGGAAATTAGTTTTGTCTAGCTCAAGTTCCAACTAAATAGTAACTGAATCCATTACGAATATTATTGATAACATTCGCATTCTACTTCGCTTTTACTATTCTACTCAAGAAGTCTATAACCCTGCTATCAAATAAATATTGAAGTATTAGTTTTCTTACAGTATTTATTTTTTCACAACAATCATCTGGAATGCCTAGCGACGCTGATTTTTCATTATCTAAGTACATACTAAGTTACATGAGAAACATCTCTTTTGAATAAGAACAAAAACTGCTATTTGAAAAAAGCAATTATCAAAATACAAATTATTGATGATCATAAAATATTTGTAATTGAGAGAAATGTTGTTAGTTGTTAGTAACTGACATAACTGTCATAATAGTGTATGACACAGAGCACAATATTTTAGACAACATGCAATGTGATGAGTAGTGACGTAATTATATCGAAGGAAATTGCGTATGTAGGTGACGTTAGTCCCATAAAATGAATGAACATGTACCTTCCAGCAGGTGGGAACCTTGGACCAATGTGGGGTAATTGTGGGTCCGGACTGAGGTCTCGTCCTGCTCCTGGACGGCTGTCGAAAAAAAAGCAACATGCAACACTCAACATTTTCTACAAACTAAAACAATTCGAAAAATTCGATCGATAATTAAAAACAAAATGGTGATATTACTATCGGTCTGGGCAATACACCAACCGCATGGCAGAGATGATGCAGGTAAAAANTCTTTGAAGAAATATTTTACCTCAGAAAGTTGAAAATTAGATACATTGGAAAAATGTCTTTTTTTGATTCAACATAAAGTAAATCTTAACATTGAATTATATTAAGATATTGAACATACCTTTGCTTACGACCAAGCGAACCGTAGATGTCTTGTGAAGACTCGTGAATATCAAGCTGTGATCCACGACTGGTGATTGTGGAAGAAAGAAGACAATACAATGAGTGAGACAATAACATGCAACACATAACAGTTGAAAAATGAGCTGTGATACTGGGTGTCTGTGTGAGTGTGTGTGGGTACAAGGTGTATTGTAACTCAAAACAGTGGCAGAATAAGCTGGAGTATTACTTGTGACTGTGTGCTTATGAAATGTGAATACCAGGTTTCATCAAACATACTGGGTATTGATGAATATATGATTATAAATTCGGTTGAAATACCCTGTAGATTCTGATGACAATTTTGTGATATGTGGAGGCAAAATGCTGCTCAAAATGCAAATATTATAAACTAACAATATTCCATTACAAAATGCGAAAAATAATTCATTCAAAATTTGCTTGAAAAAAATAAATTCTGTTCAACTTAATATTCAAAAATATGCTTCATAGAAAAGGCAACTGTAGTAGTAGTAGAACCCAAACTGTACTATATATAAACATAAAACAAGGATTGAATCGGAGCTATTTCAATATTTTTTGAGATAACCAAAAGCAATGAAAACCTCTATCAAACTATATTGAACTGCAAAAGTATTTGAATAGTGCAATTATGTGAAAATAAAAGAGTTTAACCTTGAAATAAATAGGATGTCTTCAGTCCTGATTCTACTACAGGCATTAAACTATTGACCCAAAAACTCTCCCAACTTAGTCCAATTACAAGTTAAATAAAATAATTGACTCACATTTGGCCCTTTCCTTTGGCAAACTTCTTGGGGTCTTTGACGGCTTGGACAGTCTTGACTTGTTTCGCTTTACATACCCTGTCGACCTCAATCTGCCTCTTTTGCGTATTCTCCATGAACTCTTTGTGATCTGAAATGAGCTGTTCCGTTGCTGGAATATCCATTGGCAGCTCTTCTCGCTTGAGGGCGATCAGCGTATTCTCCAATCCCAGCAACCACTGGATGAGCTCTTCCAGAGATTCATCCATATCGCGCAAGGACTGCATGTGCTGCGATAGCTTCTGATGCCTCTGCAAAGCCCACTGGGAAACCTCTTCCCACCTGGTCTGAATCACCTTGATCCAGCTCTTGATGACGTTGATGGAGTCGTGATGGGCCTTGGCCAGGATATTCTGTGCCAGTAGTAGAGTTTGATCCTTCTCGATTTCTTTCTCGCCGAGTTGGGCTCTGAATTCGTCCAGGGCGCGTAGCTGTTCGTAGGCTGTCGCTTCGTCTTCAGGGGTGTTACCAACGAAACGAAGCTTCATCTCGGCTTCTGACAGCCAGTCTAGGATCATATTGACGGAACGGTGTAGCCGCTCTGCTTCTTTCAAAGCTTCTCGGAGTCTGTCAGACTTGGCCCTGGTCAGGCTAGTGACGGTTTCCCAGAGCTCGGTGAGCTCGTTCAATTCCGCTCGTATTTGTATCGAGTCAGCTTTGTTGGCTGTGCGTTCCAATTCTTGTCCATTACGCATGACCGATTCCATTTGATCATTACGTTTTTCCAATTCCTTCTCGAACTGCCGGTGCAAGTCCACTAGGTGAGTCACCGTATCAAGATCGCCGTGAACTAGATTGTCTTCTGCTAGCTCCTTTTCTGCCTTTTGCAGCCATTGCACCAGAGCCGCGATGGCGTCTTTGAATTGCCCAGAATACAGCAAGGCCTCTTCTAGCTTTCTCTGCCTCTCGACGCTCTTGTGGCAGACTGAATTCCACTTGCTCTTCAGTTCTGACAGCATGTTTTTCAAAGTAGGCTCGTCCGCTTTGGGTGCTTTGTCTTTCAATTGTTTCCCGGCTTTCATCACGCCGTCGTAGGTACCCTGTTTGCCGGATAGAGCTTTCTGGAAGTCTTGGTGTTTCGTTAGCCTACTCTTGATCTTATCGGGATCGTTGCCAATCGCCTCGGCTAGGAATTCATCCAACGCGTGTTCTGTGTCGTCTAGCCAAGTCATCAGTCCGGCCCAAGCGTCGTGGAACTCCCTAGCTTCCTTGAAACCTAGATCCAGAGCACGCGTACGCTCTGCCGATTTCGAGGCAACACGCTCCCACCTGTGCTGGACGCTGATCAACAGATTCTTGATCAGAATAACGTCTTGTTTTTGACTGAAGTACTTCAGATGCGTTCCTTTCTTGTCCAGGGCGAGCATTATCTCGCGGTGAGCGCTGACGTCTTTCTGGAACACCTTGTGCTCCTCTATCTGACCCTGGATCGTTTCCATGACCCTGGACACCGGCTTCAAGTTGGTAAGAATCTTCTCCGCGTTCGTCAGCCAGTCCACGAATGCCTCCAAAGACTCGTGGAACTCCGTGGCTTCCTTGAGGGCAATTTCCAGTTTGATTTTCTTATCGTTAGCTCTAGAGGTGACGTTATCCCAGCGCTGCTTGAGCATGCGGAGATTATGCTGTAAGTTTGAAGCTGGCGTGGTGGCCTTCTTCAAATATTCTTGTCCCTGAGAGAGGATGGTCTCAACTTTAGGTCTGTTGTCCTCGATTTCGTTGTATATTTCCATGAAGCGTTCTAGTTGTTCAGAGGCGGTTTCTGGAAGGCCGCCGACCGGTTTGCTGGCCGTGATGATGCTGTCTACATCTCCCAACCAGGAGAGGAGGTCTTGGATTTCGGCGTTGAATCTTTGGGCGTCGTTCAGAGCATCTTCGAGTTCTCGCTGCCGGTCCGCAGCCTTTTGCATAAGGGAGCGCCATTGGACGTTCAAGGTGTTTAGTTTTTCTTGGGTGGCGCTCGCTTCGTCAGCTGGAGATTATTGTGAAGTTTATTCAGTAATCAGAAGTAGATAATTCAGAACGAGGGGGGGGGGAAATTTCATAAGAAAAAATGCAGAGTCTATTTTGTATGATCACAAATAAGCAAATAACAGAATAATTGTATGAGGAGAAAAGTTACAATTAATCGATCTACAAGACAGAAAATTTCTATGTATGGAGAATATTGACTCTATTCCTCTAACTATTCATTGGTTTCATTTTATCCCTGAATTCAACCCCAATAGAAAATATTTAAGTTGAAAGATCAATTACTAGTCAATCACAGTTTCCACTTACCTCCACTCTCTATTATCTGCCTACCAGCGTCGTTGAGCGTATCGACGCTAGTTTGGTGAGCTTGTATGTCATTGATGAGTACCTTCAATTTAGCCAACTCGACTTCCAGAATCTGAGGATCGCCAGCCACGGGTTTCAACTCGTCCAATGTTTTATCGGTCTTACCAATCCAAACCAGTAGCTCGTTGAGAGCATGTTGGAATTGTCCGAGACGCAGGAGGGCATTTTCCAGAGACCGTTGTCTCTCCACAATGCCTCGCAGTAGGTCGTCCCATCGTTTGTTGACAGCTGACAGCGGTTCTTTGATCGAGGCTGCCTGATCGGCCGATGTGCGTTCCGTGAGTTCTTGAGCTTGTCTGTGGGTAAACAGTACGTGTAGATAGGGTGGTGGATGGATTTGCGAGATGATTCGAAAGCGTTGAGGAAACAACAATCGATAGGCGATACCTTTAATTTAAGGGCGTTTAGTTCAACAAGAAAATCATCAATACTGCCTTTCTTAATTTTAATTTGTGGAAAAAATTACAGAGAACCCCACAAAGAATAATCTAATATATAAAAATGGATGTTTGTTGATTGGTTGGTCGGTTGGTAAGTGATAAACTTCTACATCGATCAACCGATCGTGATGAAACTTGACATGTATAAGTAATTTTTCATAGAGAAGGTTTTTAGGCTATCCATTTTTCTGTAACTCGCCACTAGATGGCGCTGTAGAACATTTTTTTTAAAGTACTGTTATATAACGTTGCGCACGCCTAAGTTCGTTGATTCTGATTCTGTCAAAACATTGGCACAGCAACATAGTACTAATTAGTACTACAACTACCAAATTCTACGGAGGCGAAGCCTCGGGCAACAACTAGTTATTGATAATCCCCGCGCCCCACCCCAAAAAACTGACCGATAAAAGAAAGGAACTGTAATAGCATCGTGGTCATTGTCAGAAAAATATACGTCAATTCAATACACATCGAGCAGAACAAAGTGCTGGACTATGCACATGAGGAAGAAGGGCTGGCTTAACATGAGCTTATCTAAAGAGGACCAAAATAGAGGGAATTCACCAAAATCTGGATGCTGCTTCTTCCGTGATAGTTTAAAGAAAAACCACATGAAGTATTTATGAAAATTTTTGATAAAATGAATCGAAAAACTACCAAATTAGCACCAAAAATGACGATTTAGACCTCTCGTTAAGGTTTAGACCTCTCGTTAAGGTTTAGACCTCTCGTCGAGTTCGTCGCGAAGTTTCATACTAGAATAGTGCTCACCAAGAGGACCAACCTAGAAGAAGGGTCTCTGAATATTTGAGGTGAACAAATACAATAATTGTTGGGGAAGGGGAACGTTTAGACAGTATATAAAAGCAAAGGTAGTATTTATTCAAACAGGCTAGACGCAGACAAACAAAGTCATGGATGCTGAAATCAGATATGATGTACTAGCTACTCAATGGTGGTTGAGTAAATGATCTTGAGTTTGGTGGCCTAGGATGAAGGTAGTTAGGGTGTAAGACATGCTTTATCATTATATTGCTATATTTCAATAGGGCTGAAGAATCGGAGACAAAGCAACACAGGGATAAAGATAGCTTGTCATATAGCACGACACACTGAATTACAAGTGGCAAGCAATTTTTTGACAACCAAAATTATGTCAAGAAGAAAATCCAATTCAAAACCAGTAGTATTCCATCTTCCTATCAATAGAGACTTTCTGTAAACACTATTAAATAGCTTCTATGGTTTTAGAAATGAAGTTGAATAGCAAGTTAGAACTGTATACACCACCTACCCAGTATATTTAGCAAAAAAATTCTTGATAACTTGAATTTCCAGATTTGTTGATCCAATTTTCTACATGAAAATCTCGTTAATTTCATAATTATCATAAGATATCGTCTATTGACAGTTTTTCATTACCTCACAGAACAAAAGTAAATATCGTCTTCTTTTCACTGGTGTAATTTATAAAAACTACCATGCATTGAATATCATCACTAAAAGTAAAATTTTTATATGATTGACAACATATAACATTCCTTAAGGTGCGAGAAACACATTATTAAAATCTTTATTTTCATTCTGTGACGAATGATTCCAAAGCAGTAAAATATAAATAACACAGAGCCATGTAAACAAAAAATACCAGAAAGCCAAAGAAGCATAAATAAATCAAGGCAGCCACTAGGTTAGAGTTTCCGATATTTTCAATAAAGATTTTGGAAAAGATGTAATTTGATAAGTCTGAAAAATAAATAATCTATCATGCATTCAGGCAACCGACTAAAAATTTATGGCATCATTATATTTTGAAAAAAATCGACTGATACTTCAATTTGGAATACTCCAGAAAAATATGCCGATGCAATACAAGACGAATAGACTGCTAGAGTTTGCTGGTCAATCGCTGTCTAATAAAGCTTACAACTAGGAATAAAACAAAAATTTTACATGCAAATTTTCGTTCACAAATCATATAATTTTTTTTTCACAAAATATCTTTTATACTTTCCAACATGCACCACTCAAACTAAACAGAATACTATCTCCCAAACCTAACATAACATTTATTGAGAGGTATGTGGACAAAAAGATTCAGCAAAAATATCTTTCGAGAACGAATGTATGTACCTCTCAACACGTCATGGAGAATAATTAAAAAATTCTGGTTTATAAAATGATAACAGATGCAACCAACAAAACAAAAACAACAAGAAGAAGCATAACATGTTTTGCGTTAACACAAGAGCAATGCGGAAAATCTTTGAGAGTTCTTGCCTTTTCAGACTCCTGTAGTCCAACGGAAGAGAAAAATGGAAAAATAAATAAGTGTTAGCAATTGTACAATAAGAATAACATCAATAGGTGCTTAAAGCAGATGATAGAAATCATAATTTGTTTGACAGTTCAGAACCACATTCAATTACACATTTCAACAGTTCCATTATAATTGCTATCATCAAATTTGAATAGGAAGAATATGTATAATACTCCTTTTATGTAGAGTACTGAATTGACTCGGTACATGAAATAATTATTATTTATACATGTGATACTGTATAAACTGTACTGACCTGTTGAGAGCCTCAACCTTTACCATATGAGGATCAACTTCATCCTTGAAGTTCTTGAGTTGGTTGATCTGTTTCTTCACAGCATCAATATCAGTTCCGAGTGGACCCAATTTTTCGAATTTTCTTTCAGCTTTATCCAAGAACTCGAGAAGATTCTGAAAATTCCTGAACTCAGTTGAAGTTCCTTTAAAAAGAGTAAGAGAACGCATCCTCTTACCACTAACATTATACTTACCTCTAAGGTTTCGTGGAATTCCATTGCTTTTTCCATGGCATCAATGAGGTTCTCCTCGCGCTTCGCATACAGAGCAGTAATGTTATCCCAGGCATTGTCCAAATCTTCAATATGCTTTTTGACTTCAGGCTTGTCAGGCTCTCCGCATAGTTTCATTAGTTTTTCTCCGGAACTCCTCACTTTATCCACATCCGGCTTGGTTTGATCTATTTCTTGCCTGATCTCCTGCAGAGCCACCTGCTGTTCTTGTATCGCTTTCGGCTCGACAGCCGGAGGTTCCTGCGATACCAAAGAATCTTCAAGATCCTTGAGAGTGACCATAATGGCGTGGAGCTCCTTCCAGAATTTCTGGGCGGCATCCAACGCATCGTCCAAGGACCTTCCGCGATCCTGAGTAGCTTTCTGTACATCATCCCAGAGATTTTTCAGTTTGTCGAGCTTTCGTTTGATATCTTTGATGGCGGGATCGGCTTTGTTGCCCGCTTTGCTGATGACGTCGTCTGCAGCACGTTTAACAGCCGCGTACGCTTCCTTCCTCTTATCCAGATCACCAGCAAGGTTGTCGTTGTCCTCTATCTGATCCTTAATTTTAGGAACGTGAGCGGAAACAGGTTCTAGGTGGTTAACTTGATCAGCTGTGTTGGAAAGGGCTCGTAACATCCCCTCGAGCTTATCTGAAAACTTGGAGCTCTCTTGTAGGGCTTGCTCCAGGGCCTGTTGTCGCTCACGGAGTTCTAACCTGAGCGCTCCATACCTGGCGTTGTCGCTATCTAGCAACTCCTGCACTTTGCTTCCGTCGTCTTCATTGCATAGCCTGATGAGTGCCTCTCCCGTTTTATTGAGCTTGTCGACGAGAGGTTTGTGCTCGTTGATTGACTGGAGGAACATCTCGTTTCGGTCCTGCTGCTGCGCTATGATGTCAGGCCTCAACGCCGGCATGGTGAGCATGGACACCTGCTCCTCCATGTCTGCCAACCATGTGGCTAGCACGTTGTGCGTTTCGTGGAAATGTTCAGCTAGTGGCAGGGCTTGTTCCAACACTCCCAATCTGTCCGAGCTCAAACCAGAAACGATGTCCATGGCTTCACGAAGGTCATCCATTTTCTCGCGGATGAATGAAGTATCGTCGCTTGGCGGGGTCTCCCGCAAGACTTTCTTGGCAGTTGAGAGCACGTCACGCACCCTGCCTTTTTGGCTGGAGATGTCGTCGTTGAGCGCTTTGTGCTCTTTTAGTTGAATCCTGATCAGATCTGGCTCCGCAGAGGGTTTTTCGGCGTCTCTTAGCTGACCGTCGACTTCCCTGAACCATTCCAGTAGCTCGTCGATATCTCCCGTGACTTCAAGCGCTCTCTGCTTACCCAGGTGGATTCTTTCGGCCCGCCTTTGTATTTGCTCAGCGATGGCGTCAAAGCGCCTGTTGTCTCTCGTAACCAGGCCTTCGATTGTCGCAGCGCCCTCTCCCGGGCTAGCTTGGCACAACTGCGGTCCCAGAATGTTTACGGACTCCAGTACAGGTCTCAGTTCCTGAAGATCTACTTCTAGTCGGGCGATATCTCCTTCGTACGGTTCGGCGGACTGCAGAATCGACTCCGCGCCCTGCATCCAATCTACTAATCGGTTGTGGTTGACGTGGAACTTCTGAACCAGCGGTAGCATCGTTTCTGCTTGTTTGAGCAGCTCTGCCGCTTTAGTCGTGAGGTCGTTGTATCTGCGCTGCAAGGAATCCAGCTTATCTTTAAGCTGCAAAGCCTCGTCCGAGGAAATGTGTCTCATAAGTTCAACCCCAGCATCTACGGTGCCGTCTATGTCAGTTTGTCGACCAGCTATGTCTTCGGACAAGTTTGTCAAGTCGTCCATCTGCTCAAGTAGCTTCTCGTTGTGCACAGCTAGAATCTTGTATCTCGCAAGCCTTTGCTCCATCTGATCCATCCAGACGGCCAAATCTTGGTAGGTCAAGACGAGATGTCTAAGACCTTGCCTAGAGGCTGTTAGCAGCTGACCTATGTTCTCGCTGGCTTCCACTAGGATGCCATACCTGTCGGTGGCTTCTTGTAGCTTGTCGGCTAGCCCTGCGGCTTCATCATCTCCGACTAGAGACATCAGATTTGACGCGATTTCGGTGAGTTCTTTGAAGTCTGGTTTCTTATCCAATATGTCGTTGTGTAGAGCGTCGTGTTCCCGTATTCTTTGTTGAATCTTTTCTTCATCTGTTGGTACGAGCTCCATGTCCTTGACTTTTTTCTCTGAGCGGTCCAGCCAATCCTGTAAGGGAATCAACTTGTCCTGGAACTCTTTGGCAACCCGCATGGCTTGTTCCAAGTCCAAGGTACGTTGCTGTGCCCCTTCTGTGAGTGCATCGAAGCGACCTATTAGGTCCTTCAGTTGTTTTTCGATGGCTTTACGTTCTGCAGGTTCTGCTTCTTTAGCAATATCGTTGCCCATGTTAAATAGCGATGTCATAGAGTTTTGCCTGTCGAGTAACATCTTCTTCAAGAACTTCTGCTCTTGCAGTTGGGCCTTGACCACCTTGTAGTCTGCTGATGGTGGTTTTTGATTCGCAACCAACTCTTCAGTGTCAGTTAACCATTTGGCTAGACCGTCCAGAGCTTCTTGGAACTTGCCTGACTGCAGCAAGCCGATATCTAGCCTTCTCTCTCTGTCATTAATTTTTTCTTTGAGATCGTTCCACAGCCCGTTCATTTTCTCCAGGTCCTTCTCGAGAGCGGTAGTGTTGATGCCTGGGGCTGCAGACTGGATGAGTCCCTGACCCACTTTGTTGACCTCATCGATTTGTCTACCCAAAGGTTCAATGAAGCCGGCAGTAAACTTCTTAAAGTCTTTTTGTTGTGCTCTAATAGTGTCGACCTCGGAAGCGACTGGCTTGAGTTTACGAAGTTCTGATGCGGCATTTTGTATGCCATCTATAGCGTTTGCGTGGGTAATGTAAAACCCTTCTAGCTTCTTCAAAGCTCCATCGAGTTCTTTTTCTCTATTGAGTGCACGGTCATCTAACTTACCAAGTAATTTCTTGAGCGTGTCTACCTGTTGTCTTGTTTGGGCCGTATCCGGAGCAAATCCGCTGTCTACAAGCCTCTCGCCGGATTGAATGGCATCAGTCAAGTCGTCAGTGGCTTTGTTGATTTTTCCGATGAATTTGTTGACGTCATCAATTTGTCCACGTACAGTCTTAACGTCTCTACCGGGTGGTCTCATGTTGTCCAACTCAGACTCCAAAGCAGAAAGGTCTTGGGAAATGCCCTTCACTTGATCATTGAACTGAGTCACCGCAGTAGCAGCTGATTGTAAGTCCGAGCAACGGTCATCGAGTTTGCTGGCTAGCTCGTCAATACGATCTCCCAAACCGTCAACTTCATCTTTAAGGTGTACCGCGTCGATGCCGTTCTCTCCAGCTTCATTGCACAGATCGTCAGCCTGTTGACGAACGACTTGCAGCGGTTTCTTCAGCTTGGCCGTCTCTTCTCTGAGTGCTTTTATCCTCTCGAGCAACTTTGGATCTCGGGCTGCTCCTCCAAGTGCGTCGTGTGACGCCAATTTGTCTTCGCACCGCTCCAAGCTGTGTTGAAGGTCTCTCAAATTCTCGCCAAAGTTTGCTAGTTTTCTTGATTGGTCTTCGAGAGCTTGGGTTCTCAGAATCAAGTCATTGTTAAGCCTATCCCATCTATCTTTAAGATCAGCGAGTTCGTTCTTGACGTCATCTTTGTCTATATCGCAAGCGCTCAAGAAGGAATCCCCTAGAGACTTGGTGTTTTCGTAATCTCCGGACTTCTTCCACACTTCGTTTCGGAAAGTTTGCAGCTCCTTCAGCTGCTTCTCGATGTGTTTACGTTGGAACGAGGAAGGCTTGAGAGTGTCCAGCTTATCCTCGGCCTGTCTTAGCCAAGGCAGGAAGGTTTCCAAAGCCTTGTAGTACTTGCGGCAGTGCTCTTTGCAGGTTTGCAACCTGGTGTGCCTCTCCAAAGTTTCTTTGCGCAGCTTCTCCCAGTTCTGGTTGATCTTGTCCAGGTCTCTCTGCAGAGATCTCGTATCGGCTCTATTATTCCTACTTAGAACATCTCTGCCCTTGTTCAGAAGCATGATGACTTCGTGTTCTCTAGCGAGCACGTCCCTGTAGATGGGTTCGTGCTGCGCGACTTGTTGTTCCAGTACATCTCTGTTGGCTGATATTAGGAATTTTTCTGATAATGATCCAAGCTCGTCCGATAACCATCCTAGTGTCTTGGCGCAAGACTCTTCGAACTGGCGCCCATCTCTGATAGATCCTTCAATCTCGGCCTTCTTGTGGTCCAGTTTTCTTTGCAGAGCATTGTATTGTCTTCCAACCGATACCAGTTTGGCTTGAATATCGGCTCTGGAAGCAGGATCACTCAGCACGTCGCAGAGCTGTGCTCCGTTAGCTTCCAAATCGGTTAACAGAGGGCGTTGTCCCTCCAGCTGTCGTTCGAGATTCTCCACTTTACGTAGTTGTTCTTCGGGGTCTTTGTCTAATGGTAGTTCATCCAAGTTGTCGGATATTCCTTGTAACGCGTCTCTTAGTCGCGTGAGTTGAGCGTCGAATTCTCTGCTGGTGTCTGCTGCCGCGCCGAGTGAATCTGCACGTTCCTCCAATTTGCCTAGTAGGTCCGCCCACTTTTGTTGAACGGCGGCAAGCTTCGAGTTAATCCTCTGGTGATCAGGAGATTTGAGGTCCAGGTATCCTAAGACGTCATCGCCGACGTCGATGAGATGCTGCAACTGAGGCTGTTGAGTGCGGAACTCCTCGCGAAGCACTTGCACCTGCTGTACCTGTGACTGCACCATGCGAGAGTCACTGGAAATTGGTCCTAAAACGGTTAGCATCCTATCCTTAGCACCCAACCACGAGGTCAAAGAATCATGGATATCGTGGAACTCCTTCATGTCTTCCATGAATTTGATGCGGTTCTTCAAGTGGTCGTTTAAGCTCTTCCAATGCGAAACAACGTCTTCAAGTTCGTCGTTCAAATTATCCGAACCAATCGCACCAGGCTTTCGCCTGAGCAGGTCTTTTATTTGGATCTTGGTGGAATCCAGCAACGACTGCTTTTCGTACATTTCTTCCAACACGTGTTTAATTTGTTTGTTAAGTTTGTCAGCTTCGTCTTTGGTGCTGGGTACTGTGTCTTTGGGAAGCTGTCTTTGGACTTTATCGAGAAAACCGCTGAGGATCCTGAGGTTATCCAATTGCTTCTTGACTTCGTCGCGTACCGAGTCGATTTCGGACTGCCTGTCGTTGATTTTAGCGCCTAGCAAAGAATACCTGTTGTTTATTTCAGAGATTTGTTGTTGAACCGGTGACAACTCTTCGAGATGGAAGCCGTCCTGGCTGGATCTGCGCGAGGAGAAGCCACTAGAACCTCCTGGAGATAGCGGTGATAGTACTTTTGTAGGTGATGGTGACCGACCGTTTCTAGATGGCAATTTTCCAGGAGCTGGAGAGGTACGCTTAGTCGGGCTGTACGCCTTTCGCCTGGTAGGCGACTCTGGCCTATCGGCCCTCATTAAGTTATCGTATATGGTGCCGATGTCGTTGATTTTGTCGATGGTAGAGGAGTATTCTTTATACTCCTTGACAATCGGTTTGAGCTCTTCGTTTTGCTTCTTTAGAGTTTCCAGATGCACAGCGACCATTTCCAGTCGCGTGACTTTCAATTCCATTTTGTTGAGCCACTCGTTCACTTGGGTCCTCAATGTTTCGTACGACTTGTTATGCTCTGCGCGTAGACTTGATAGCCTGGCTTTTTCTTCGAGTAAATGCTCCAGTTCCTTCCACTGGGTTTCAAGCAACTTGACGCGGTCTCTCACGCTGGCCGTATCGGTGACGTCTCTCTTGTTGAGGAGTTCTTTGCCGATCTTTACGGTCTCTTCGTACATGTGTCGGTTTTCGTCCCGATTAGCGGCGATTTTCTTCATCTGGTTGACAAACTCGTCTGCGGGTAGCTTGCTCATGTCTTTCGACTCTATGATATCCATTACGCTGGTGTACCAATCTCCGAACTTGACTGCTTGATTACCAAACACTCTCAGGTCTTGGTTGGTTTCTTCCAGAAACACCCCGCGATTCTGAGCGCGGTCGAAAAGTTTCTCGAATCTCACCTTGACATCGTTTAGTTTTCCTTCTATTTTCTTGGCAACTCTCGCGTTGCTAGTCGACACTATCAGCTCGTTGGCGGATAAGTATATAGAGTCGATGGAGGATATGTGGATGTCTACGTCGGCTTGGAATGCGCGATGGTCTCTCAGTTGTTCTTCCAGGCGTTCTTTGATTAGCGACGCCGGTTTCTGCATGTTCTTGAACTGGTTCTCGGCCTGATTTAACCAGTCGATGATGCCGTCTAGGGCGTCTTGGACGCCTTGCGATTGGACGAGGGCTGTTTCGAGATCCTGGCAGCGATTCGCGATGGCGCTGCTCAGTTGGGTATATTTGTTTTCCAAAGTTTTGATCGGTTCCTCTAGGCGAGCTATTTCCGATGGAGATATCTGGCCCTCAAGAGATATGAGGAGAGAACTGGTGGCCTGTGGAGAGGATGAGAATAAATTGATGAAGGTGATGACTTGATAAGGATTTCATTAAGCACACTGCCTATTACATGGTGGATAATGAAACGAAACGAAGCCGATTACTCTTAATCGGTATTTGGAAAAAAAATCAGTCGATTTTTATCTTGATGAGAGAAACTTTTAGGCATATATTAATTTCAACACTTTCACCCCTTTGGCGGAATACGATTCAACCCTTAAATCGTGAAAGGGATTAGGGGTCGAGTGATAAAGCATTTAAAGATCATAGATTTCTCTTTTAAGGCATGCGATATTAGGAAATTGCGTTATTACAAATAATGACAAGTTGACATGAAGAAAGTTACTGTCTTATGAAGAAAATTACTGTCTTATATCTTGCAACCGCAATTTTTGTAATTATTGTTTTGACCAAATAAAGGGAGAGGAACAGTTATGAAAAATATCATTTTGAAGATCACTTACTGATTTTTTACTTCCACAAGTGTTCATAAAAGCATTCTCCTGCTTTCATGAAGTGATAGAAGTTTTGTTCGAAGCAGTTTCCGAAATTCTGAAGTCCTGTTTCGACATTTAACAATAATATAACCGCTGGTAATTATCTACAGATTCAGCTTGAGTCTGCGCAGATTAAATAATTACGAACCCTACCGACCCACTGAGCTATAAGAGTGTATAAGCCATAGTTACAGTCATTACTTGATACGATTGCCGTTTTGATTTTCAGTAACCTCAATATTAGTCACTGGTAAATACACTTGGGCAATGAATCATTACACATGCGTCTTCATTACATGACGCGATAATATTATTTTATGCAGCATCCATTTTTTCTATGAGCGAAAAATGATGAAAAAAGGGTTAATGTTCAATTAGAGGGATTGTTTGAGCGATAACTTGTAGTCAGTATATTGAAGTGGCATAACTGTATCGTGACTCACGATCCTTAGATTTTAAAACCACTTGATGACGTATCAGTATAGTTTGACAATTTGATGTTGTTTATTCTAAAGTCTCTACGGTTTGAGTCTTTTATACTACACAAATAGTCGTTTTCACAACTAATAAACTACTAAGTAGTAACGGCGATTTCTTAGACCACCCCCACTCTTCCAGTTTTGCCGTCATCCACTTGACCAATCAGAAGAAACCGCGCGGGAAATTCAAATTGTACTCACTTAAACGAGATCTGGGCTTCGAGATAGGACCTCGAATTAGGATAAGGTACCCCCGAAAAATTTTAGGCGAAATATCTCCAAAACATGTTGGGCTTCGAAATAGGATCTTGAGTTGGACCTCGAATTGGGATGAGATACCTCAAAATTTTCAAGCACCGATTGGGACGTTGGTGTGGTTTTGGTCATTGAATTGGTCTTCGATTTCACATTTCATAGTAAGTAAAATTTATATCGAAATCATGAACTTTATTTACAGAACGACTCAAAGTGCTTCCATTTTTCATTGAATTGACCCAAAATCGTAACATGAGGTTACTTTTTAGTGAATTTCATGAATAAAACCAATTCATTAACGGCTTAGGTTATTCTATTGACCGTACTGTAGTTACATTGTTTCATTTCTACTTTTAACAGTAACATATGCTTAAATCATGTCTCCCTCATTTCAGGCAGACCCTGCTTAACTAACTGTTAAAAGTACCTCGGAAAATTCCTCATTATTACTGTTATTAAGCTGCTACCACATGAGAAACCAGTGGTTCATGAAACATCTGATAAATATCAGTAATCAAACTACGTTTTTAGCTAAAATCGCGACGACTATTAGGCGCTATCACACCCAGTTGGTTCAAATCGAAACTTACCTGTTTGGCGTTGTCAACCAGCCTTCCATTAGCGACGAACTCGTTGTTCAGAGCCTTGGCGCTCTGTAGCTGATCCTCAACCGCTTTCGGATCTCCGGCGATCGGGTCGTTCAGCAGCTGTTTCGCTCTTGGTTCCGCGTCTCTGAGCCAAGCCTTGGCCTTGTCTAGAGCGTCTGAATACTCTCTTTGGCGTCCACCCACACCAGAAAGGCGATCAGAAAGGTTGTTAGCACGATGCAGGAGATCGCGGTATTGCTGGGTGACCAAAGATACTTCGCTGCGTACGGGCGAGTCTTGGGACGAGTAGGGTTCTATGTGAGGCAGACGTGAGGGAAGGGTGGTACGGAAGTCGTTGAGGATGTTGAGATATTCCTGGAGAAGAAATGGTTTGTTTAAAATAACTCGGCGAAAGGAATATCTGTTCAAAAATCTCTCAAAAGTCGAAACTTGTGCGAGCTGAGGACTAACAAGGTCTTACCTTTCAACGTATGATTCCTAGCACGGGTTGGACGATAGCAAGTGAAAATCGATCGTCCAGCCTTGAGGCTTAAACCACCGGTTCACCCAGCGGTCGATTGAGTGAGTGGAGCAAACCACCCAGGTCAACCCAACCGGCTATTGTTCCACCAAATATATGGATACATAATGAAATCTCGTGATATATCTAAATTATTCATGAAGGAGGACATTTAGGCCAAAATAGAGGTTTATAAAGAAGACATTCGAGATTTGCTTTGAGAGAAGCATATGCTAAACTCCACCACATTAAATGAAGACCATTTATCATTGAAATAAACCAAAAATCTTGGATCGTCTCAAGGAAATTTTCAGACATTTTATGATGGAATGCAAAATAAATGATGGCAGACTCATAATGTAGAGTACATTCCACAAAATGATAGTTCAAGTCCACAGCTCTATCCAATGTTTTAGCCAATATAAACATAACATAAGTTACCTTTCCTTCGTCGACGAACTTCTGTGCAGACATAGTGATGAATCTCAGATCCGCTTGATGGGCTATCACGTCTCCGACGAACTCCTTGGTACTATCGGTACTAGAATCCAGATTCTGCAAATCGCTCAAAGACCTCTCCTTGTCTTCCAGAACTCTCCTCGCCTTGCTCAACCATGTCGAAAAAATGCTGAGCTCGCCTTTGAGCTTAGCCAGTTCATCCCTAGCAGCGAGCAACCTTCTTAGAAGTTTCTCAGTGCGATCACCAGCTTTGTCATAACGCGTTTTGAGGTTACGTCCGCTCTTTTCTAGAGCAGAAATTTCACTTTTGGAAAGAACGTCTCCTGCTGTCAGAAAGTTGCCTCACTTGGTCTCCGCAGTAGGAAACCTGGCCGGAGTGTTGTTCCAGGTCATCGCGGATCTGTTTCATGGTGTTGATTTGATTGCGAAGTTCCTCTTCCACCTCGTGGATGACGTCTTGGTTCGCGATCCGGTCTTCTATTTCATCTATCCAGCTGAGGAGTTTTGACAAAGTGTCGTCGCACAGTTTGTATTTTTCTTCGACTGCTTGCTGGAAGTTCAGTAGAGAGTTAGCTCAGAATGGGGTTTGGGGAATTGTTAGAAGGTTTTACTCTACCGGAGGATCTGATTTTGCTTCAGATGGAGAGAGTCGGGGATAGTATGGATCAACAGATGAGAATGTGCAATAAAGCTGAAGTGAAAAAATTTTTGTTTTATCAATTTTGATAGAAAGTGTCTCTTTCTTCAAACTAACAATCAGCCAGAAATTGTGTTATATGTCACATCACAATGTGGAATTATTTAAAGTATAAATAAAAGTTTGAATCATCATAGTTAAAAAAATCAATATTACCAAGGAGGAAGTAACATACTATGTTCACGATTTTTCAAGTAATTTCCAATTTCTTAAACACTGTACAAGCAACGTTTATTGAGTATATTTCGGAGATTTTCTATAAGCTTTTTCTGTTGAATGATCACATTATATGAGGAAAAAAGTTTAAATAGTAACATCTCCCCCGTTATGTCTAAATACAAATTATATTAAAGGGATTCTTTTCTATTTCATCATTTGGCAACATCGGTTATAGCTAATAAAGGACAATGAATCTGTTACCTGTATGAGTCAAACAAAGATGACATATTTCAGAGGCGTACTGTTCTGTTTACTTATGTTCCGAGTTCCGAGACATTCTGTAACATATGAAATTTTGTGCACCTAACCTAGCTTCCTCTATATAAATAAATAACAAAACAACTGTTGTTTATGTGGCTTGTGGAGGTGGTATTGAACTATAATTTATATATTGTTGATTTATAAAGATAATTTTCCTTTTTTAAAGTAGAATATCTAGGTACGTATAAATTATTTCAACTAGATATAGGCGCTGTTGCCACTATGTGAATTAGAAACAAATCCCTTTAAAAATTAAAACCTAATATTTGAAACATCAATTTGAATACTTTTCGAAGTGAATTCGAAAAACTCATGAATTGAACTCAACTTTATTTTGTTCAAACTTGCATTTGCTGTAATAACCCAAATTGAGGAACATTCCCCATTATCGAAGTTGAGTTTTCAAGATTTCACACAAAAAACCCGGCACTACTGAGTAGACTCCCACATTTTGCTGGTTATATCAAATGTGTTCTGTCAACTATGCTGTGTATCAGCATAGTTGACAAAAACGCTTTCACCAACTTTCAAGTTGTTGTCATTGGATTGATACTTCAAAACGAGCTTTGTCTTCAATCACACTCTGGGGCTGAAGGTTTAATATTCAATAGACATATTCACTTCATGGAAGGCCAGAATATTACAAAGTTGACAGTCTATAACATCAAAGACAGCTAATGATTTGAGTATTTTCACTTGTGAGGGTATATTAGTACTCATACTACTATGTCAGTGTTCAATTATCAGAGTCATTTTGATTTCTCTGAAACACCTTTATTTTGGAGTGCAAGGCACTATATTGCAGTACTGTGCCATCATGAAAAATTTAAAACTACTTAAATTAACTCAGGTCTTTTGAAAAGTTGACAGTCTATAACATCAAAGACAGCTAATGATTTGAGTATTTTCACTTGTGAGGGTATATTAGTAGTCATACTACTATGTCAGTGTTCAAGTATCAGAGTCATTTTGATTTCTATGAAACACCTTTATTTTGGAGTGCAAGGCACTATATTGCAGTACTGTGCCATCATGAAAAATTTAAAACTACTTAAATTAACTCAGGTCTTTTGAATAAGGAACCATTTCCTCGGAAACTTATTACCTAGTGGCTTTGACAGAATGAGGTTATGCACACAAGACATTATAGATGGTGGTGCTATTTGATTGAAACTAACAATTTCAAGTCTACATCTATGTATTGAAACTCAATTGTATGCAATGGATTTTTGGCAAGATATCAATTTTTCAGCAAGATACCATAGTTTTATTCTTCTGAATACACACTGAAGTTTTTGAATTTCCACGTGCAACTGATTGTATATTTCAAAGTTGAAGGTTTAAAAGGTCATGATGTTTTCACCGTCAACAAGTAGACAATTGAAATTGCAAATAAATCGACACTTGTTTCACTTCAGTTGTGCCACTTGTATACTTTATACATTCAAAGATCGAAAAGCTTTATTGCACACTCTAGAGACTAACTCAAAAGCATAAATAACACTAGACCAGTAACTGAAAGTTTGATTGACATTATTTTAGAGTTGAGCTCCTTATTGTTATTCTCTTCGGGTCAAGTATTCATCAGCGTTGGAGTTGGTCTTCTGATAATCCTAATTGTTGTATTGGATTTGTGGATTGTAGATACGTATCTCAATCATTACAAACAGTTTTAGACAATACAGGCACAAACATAGCACTTTCGGCATAGGAGCTAAGAACCTTAAACCTATCACATGCACTCACAACCACACAGAGAAGAAAAAGGTTAGTGAAACAAAAAACAAAATAAAAATGGCGATGTTACCTATCATGTGAACCTGTGAACAGATAAGTGTAACAGCACAATGATTAGAACAAAACTTCAAATTAGGTGAATTCACCTAATAAAATACAACAGACCATCACATTGTGATTTTTTTTCCATAATATGTATATATTTCATAAAATAATCTGATGGACTGTTGGAACAGTGATAAAAATCTTTTTTGAAAAATTGAAAAAATATTGTAATTTTTTTGTTTTTATAGATGGTGCTACCAGTTTTAACTCGCAAAAATGTTACTTAGGGACTTTTTGCAGAGCCCTTCATATACACCACACCAATTCTCATGTATTTTTGATATGGCAGATACAATTAGGAGAGGTTCAATTTCAGTTTACTTATAGGACTTGTCTAACGCTTGGCCTACGCGACTTTTATTTCAAACTATTCGCTTTCGTTTCAGATAATTTGACAACCAAGTTCACTATCAACAAATGAAATGTCAATATCAACTTTAGTTGTTTCAGTTTTCAATGGAATCGTTCCTTCAATACGTTTTTGCATTTTTATTGGATTTTTGTTGAAAGAACCTGAGACATTCAGAAAAATTTTGAAGGGGGCGCCATTTTTTTTCAAGGAATGCTCCAAGAGCTTTTGGGCTCTAGTGTTTATGATTAGTCTGTGAATTTGATGCCGAGTTCATAACTGGCCCATGGGGCTTGTGATATAAGTACATGTGTACTTATATCACAACCAACCAAGTATTTCATAAATCGCACTTTTCAAGAAGTAATCAAAACTCATCACAAGTAAACATCGAATGGGGCCGTTTATTTCGTTAATAGATGAAATTATTTATCAACGATCAAAATCATGAAATGGTACTGAATCGCATGACACTGAAGCTACTTTCATGCAGGCCTAATTCGATTATGAGTCAGTCAAAAAGCTTGCATAGCCTAGCTTAAGGTTGCACATTTTACTAGTGAAAAAGAACACTTACCCTTTGTTCCGCTGGCAAGATCCAACCCTTCTCTTGGGCTTTGGCGAAATCAATGTATTTATTTTCATTTTTGTCGTGGATCTTCCCTTCTACCGCATCCACCAAATTGGTGTCGATAGCATACAACAAAGGCTCTATAATACCGCTCTCTGGATCTTTGATCACCGTACTACTGGGATCTATCAAGTTCCCAGCGATAGCATCGGCTAGCGTAAGTTTCTTTCTGTCGATTATATTTGTGGTGACAAACGGGTCGGTGAAACGCCCTGTAGTAGGATTGTACACGCCGTAAGTAACGGTTTCCATCAGTGTGAAGCTTTTGTTGGTGGTGATGAGCAAACCGGTTTCTAAAGCTGCCGATAAAGTGAACAGCTTGGAAGTGGAGCTATCTAGGACGTTGCCTTTATCAGCGTCTATCAGGCCCTTCCTGAAGCCTTCGGGAAGTTTGATCAATTTCTTTTTGTTGAAATCTTTGATGAGTGCAGTGTCCGGGTCGATGAAACCCAGCGCGATGGACTCTTTTAAGGTCAAAACCTCGTTGGATTGCGGTACTGTGAATTTTCCCGTAGCGACATTTAGAAGGCCACTTTCGATAGCCTGAATGAAAGATGATGGTTCCTTCAGGTATATTATAACACCTTGATCGTACGTGACCACTAATGACTTTACTTTGCCCGTTGTCGGATCGAATATGACGGTTTTCGCGACGTCTAGCTGTTTGTCATCAATAGCGCTCGCGACCGATCTAAATTTACCTACCTGAAGGTCTTTAACAACGGCAACTTCCGGATCAAGCAACTCGAATTTGATGGCCTCGTCCAAGGAGTACTCGCGAGCTTGTTTAGCCATTGCTGCGGTTGCAGGTACCGATTTCTGCACGAATTCTTCCGCCAGAGGCTTCTCTAGCGTTATCAGTAACCCTTTCTTGAAAGCTTCGTCCAAGTTGTACGTTTTCTTCGACTTAGAATCCAAAACCCGTCCCTTCTCCACGTCTATCTTATGATCCTGAATGGCTGCTGTTATGGATTTAACGCTGTTGTTGGTCTTGTCTTTCAAAGCTGTCGCCCGAGGATCGATGAAACCGTTAGCTATGGCTTGAGAAAGGTCGTAAAACTCTCCGTTTACGGGGTCGACGAATTTCCCCGACTCCGGTCTGTAAAGAACGTTTTTGATGGCTTCTTCCAGAGTCAGAGGCGTGCGAGCTGTCACTATCAAGCCCTTGTTTTTGGCTTCGAGCAAATCCACAGTATTGCCGTTGGGGAAGACGTACACGCCAAGCTGGTTGTCTATGAGGCCGGATTCGACAGCAACAGTCAGTTGAACGTATTTGTTCTGTTGGCTGTTTTTAACTAGAGACGTTACTGGGTTGATGAGCTCGTTTTCGCATGCGTCTTTGAGGTTATACTTACGACCCGTAGCGGGATGGATGAACGATCCCTCTTCCGGAGTATAAAGTTCCATTTCCAAAGCTTCGTACAAACCGAAGTTGGCGAATTCAATGTCTACTATCAGGCCCGCGTTCATCGCTTCGGAGAGTTTCATAGATTTTTCTCCGTGTGGTTCTTTGAAAGTGCCGTTTCGCTTATCGATGATTCCCAGTCTGCA